AGCCTTTAGCACAAGCACTGATCAGGATTGATTGTACTCTTCCTACTGATAAGGATTTATCCTTCTCTTCCCATTGATAAGGATTGATCCTTCACTTCCCATCTGCAATTGCAAGAAACCTGCGCTGGCTGTGGGTGTCTGAGAGAGTTTCATTCCCTCTCCTCTGATTTAAAATGTTTAAGCATTAAACCTTCTCAATGTTGAGAAAGCAGAAAATGTGGCACAGGATTTTTTAGCTTCTACACATTTTTTAGAAGTCACAAGCAGTTTCTGTGGGATTTTGGGAAAGGTGATGGAGCAAAGCAGGTACTGCTGGGAAACATTACTCATCTGCCCTTTAAACTGTGTGAAACCCCACCAGAGTAGGGACTTTCCAGTCTCTGTAGGGAGATTCAGCCCAGGCTGGTACATAAGCAGAAATTGATGGAGTTTATTCTCTTTTGAGCTATATGATTTCTGCCAAGTCCTGTATCAGTACACAAATCCTGCCAGGTCTGTGCTTGTCCTGTGATAAAGGTCGTGACGGGAAAGTTTCCATCTGGCTTTGGCTTGGCCCAAATAAAGGTTATGGATGTGCAGAGCTCCTAAGTCAGCGGCTTTGCTTGGATTTAGACTTCTCAAAAAGGCAAATAAATAGATTTGTAGATTTTTGCAATGATACTTGTGAGTGACTTGGCGGATGACAGAGGATTCACTTGTGTTACTCCATGAGGGAGCAGCGGGTGGAGCTGGAACGGGCACTGGGAGTGCCCTGAGCAGGGACCTGGATGGCACCAGCTGCTGGGAATGGAAGCGGAAGAAGGTCCCATGTGAGAGTTGCTGGTGGGATGTGACAAAAGATGTGAAATCAAGGAGAGAAAAATGATGATTCTGGAATTTGGCTCTGGCTGTCAGGGGTGTCGAAAGGCGCCGGCAACGCCTCCTGGCCGGGCTATAAAGGGCCCCGAGGCAGGGGAGCGAGCACTCGCTGCTGCTGCTGCTGCTGCTGCTCTGCCGAGCCGCCTCTCTCCATTGCAGCTCCAGCATGAGCACCACTGTCAGGCAGTTCTCCTCCTCCACCTCCCTCAAGGGCTTCGGCGGCCTGGGGGGGGGCTCCAGTAGGCTCTCCTCCGTGCGTGTTGGGGGAGGAGGCTATAGGGCCCCCAGCGTGCACGGGGGCTCTGGCAGCTACTCCGTGTCCTCCCGCATGGTCTCGGGCTTCGGCAGCGGCTTTGGGGGCAGCTACTGCAGCAGCGCAGGAGGGACCCTCGGCGGGGGCTTTGGGGGCAGCTATGGGGCCGGCTTTGGGGCCGGCTTTGGGGCCGGCTTTGGAGGAGGCTTTGGAGGCGGTGATGGCATCCTGCCGGCCGGGGAGAAGGAGACCATGCAGAACCTCAACGACCGCCTGGCCACCTACCTGGACAAGGTGCGAGCCCTGGAGGAGGCCAACACCGACCTGGAGGTGAAGATCAGGGAGTGGTACAAGAAGCAGGGACCTGGTCCTGACCGTGACTACAGCCCCTACTACAGGACTATCGAGGAGCTCAGGAACAAGGTAGGATGCTGGGATTAATGTGACATCTTCATCAAAGCCACTTGTAAAGAGATGGCTTTGTTCCTAACAGCTGGAGGGAAGAGGCTTATCAAATAACAGGTAATTACTCTGAAATGAAAACCAGGTCTTTGGAATAACAGTCACTATGAACAACAGAACACCAGGGACCAGAATGGAGTTTCTGTTGACTGTTCCAGTGTAGGAAGGAAGATGGGACAGGAAAGGAGTCAGACAGTGATTCAGGTTACCTGATGCTACTTGCTGTCCCACTGTCACCTCCTGCCTTCCTTCTTACTACCTGTGCCCCATAGTTGCTCCCTGTTAGGCTCCTGATGGAGCTCTCAGCAGGCAGGGACTTGTTATCTCCTGGCCCTCTTCACTGCTGAGTGATATGCAGATGGAGATGAATAGTCATTCTCAAAATATCCTAGATTTTTATCCCTACCCTTCAAGGAGGCTAAAGGCAGAGGTTAAAACAGAAAGTGTCCTATGGGATGGATTTTCTTTAGGAGCTGCAGACACAGACATAAGTCCAACCCAGGACTGGAACACACTGGGCTGTGGTAGTTGTGTACCCTGCTCTAAAATGTAGCAGATGAAATCATGGCCAAGGTAATTTCTTTATTCTTAGAAGCTCCCTGGATGATTTTAAACAAAAGTCCTTCGACAAAACACCAGAATCTGTCCATCCCTCCTGCCCTGCCATTGCTTGCCCCCCTTCACCCTCATCACTCATCCTGAGTGAGCTCAGGTTCGCTGAGGGAATGAGGTGTGGGCGGTTGGGCAATTCGTACCTGCTCTGGGAGTGTAAATTCCTGGGAAATGGGGCAGGGTCAGCCTCTGGGGGGAACTCACATTCCTAAAATTTCTTGAGCTTCACCCTGGGGGAAAGGGCTTGTCTTGATGCAGGAAGCTCCTCTGCTGATTCCAGCATGTGGTGTGCTTTGATGGAGCACAGAAACATCTGGTGGCAGGAGCTGTCTCTGGATTTGAGTGATGAAGTCCTGGGTCTCACAGAAACCTTCTGCTCCTGATCCAGGGGAAGGCAGATCCTTCCCTCCTCACCCTTCAGCTGGGAAATGACCATATCAATATTCCTGGATTATTCCTTGGATATCCCCTGAAGCAGGAGAACTCAGAGTTCCTCATTAGCTCGTGGCTACAGAAATTCCTGCTCACTAAATGGCCAATCATTTTCATAATCTCAGAGCAAATACTTGTACCTCAGGTGTAATTATGAAAGCCAAATGAGGCAGGCACAAGGCACTCCTTCCTTCCTCGTTTTTCCTTCTTAGCTGGGCTGCTTCCATTCCCAAAGCCTGGAGTGTTTCCAGGGCTCAGCATGGTGTGAGCACCTGGAGGTGCCACCTGGGCAGGCCCATGCACCCAGGGCAGTGTTCTCAGGGGTCTGTGCTGATGGGAGGTGGAAATGAGCACCCCACCTTGTCTCCCTCCATGGGCAGGAGGCCCAGTGCTGCTCCAGTCCTTCCCTGGATGGGATTACTCAGAGTGTTTGAAATGACTTTTTAACTCTTTCACTTATCCCTCATTAGATTCTTTCTGCAACTGTTGAAAATGCCAATATCGTCCTGCAGATCGACAATGCCAGGCTGGCAGCAGATGACTTCCGAACCAAGTGAGTCCAATCCCTCCAAGAGCTTTTGTGAAAAAGGGGGGAAAGCCTGGCTGTTCAAGGTGCTCTTTTTCTGCACTTGGGGTTGCTCCACTGGAGTGGAACATTTGGGAATAGTTCAACTCTTTCTGGGCACAGCACTGACATTTCTGCACTGTGAGAACTGTGCACACACTTGGCAAAAATACACTGATCTGGGGAAGGAACAAGAAAAATGCTGTATCAGGTGGGTGTATTCAGCTGTGTGTGTGTCCCGAGGTTTGAGTCGGAGCAGGCTCTGCGCATGAGCGTGGAGGCCGACATCAACGGCCTGCGCCGGGTCCTGGATGAGCTGACCCTGTCCAGAGCCGACCTGGAGATGCAGATTGAGAACCTGAAGGAGGAGCTGGCTTATCTGAAGAAGAACCACGAGGAGGTGAGCACAGAGTTGGGCTCAAATTGTGACCTGCAGACATTCATTGCACAACAGGGAAATGGGCCAAACACACAGGAGTCTCTGCAATTAGGGCTGTCAGCAGACACTTGAGCAGGAAGGGAGAGAGAAATAATCCCTTCAGGCAGGACCTCCAGGAGGTCTGTGGGGTTCCTGTGCTGGGTGCAAATAAAGAATGTCTCATGATGGGAAGATGCCATGTCACTCTGACGTGTGGTGTTTCTCTTTTTGTGTCAGGAAATGACTGCCCTGCGCGGGCAGGTGGGTGGGGAGATCAGCGTGGAGATGGACGCTGCTCCTGGCATTGACCTCACCAAGATCCTGGCGGAGATGCGGGAGCAGTACGAGAGCCTGGCGGAGAAGAACCGCAGGGACGCCGAGCAGTGGTTCTTTAGCAAGGTGAGGAGCCGGCGGCGAGCAGCGGGCGCGGGGCCGGGGTGGCTGCCGGGGCTCTGAGGACACGGCTTTGCCTGGCTGCAGACGGAAGAGCTGAACCGGGAGGTGGCCATCAACACGGAGCAGCTGCAGAGCGGCAAGACGGAGATCACGGAGCTGCGGCGCACGATCCAGAGCCTGGAGATCGACCTGCAGTCGCAGCTCAGCACGGTACGAGGGCCGGGCTGGCGGCGGGGCGGGGG